AAAATTCCATATTAGTGGTCCGTGGTAATTAAAAAAAATTATGAATTTAGTGGTCCATGAGGTCCGAAAGGTTGGTGACCGCTGCTGTAAATTAAATACAATGTCCATCCCTGAAGGGCAAGTAAACCCAAGGAGGACAAGTGACTATCAGTAACCCACGAGTAGATGTTTTGCTCAGGGCAAGGCTTGACAAATCCCAGGAGCCAGGTAGCCAATGCTCCTTACAAATTACAGCTGGCCCCTAACTCTTGAGTTTTTCTCTAACTGCTTTCAATGGAACTGGCTCTAAAAAACAAATCAGCTGGCTCCTGGATTGGACAGACTGGCTCTTGAATTCCATATTAATGTGTCCACCCCTGGCTCAGGCCATATATGAGTAAACACTGAGAGGGGAATTTATCAAAAGTGGAGCAGCTAAAATCTGGAGCAGCTGTGCATGGCAACCAATCAGCTTCTCGCTTTCATTTTCAAATCGAAACTGAAGAGAGATGCTGATTGGTTGCTATGGGCAACTGCTCCAGATTTTAGCTGCTTCACTTTTGATGAATTCCCCCCTGAGCGTTTAGCACAGTGAGAGGAATTCACACAGTGATATCTTCAGTTAGGACGAGCTCTTAGGCGACCTTGCCTGAATACAGGATACTCATCCACTATGGCGTATGACTGTATATATGGCAGATCGCACATAGGCAGGCCTGTGGTCCGTTTGATAAAAAGATTAAAAGTCTCCCAAAGTTCATTATAAATGTTATCCTAATCTGACATGACTAAACGGTACATAAAGGGGACACGGAATGTTGGGGTATTGCTCCACCAGAAAGCAAGGATACTCAGAAGAAATAGCAGCCCTCCTCACCCTCCATCCCCTGATACCTTCCTCCTACTCTTATGTGTTCCTTCAAAGAGGTAAGATTTGGTTCAATGACCCAACAGAACCAGATCAAAGATACACTTCAGCCAGCACTGCCAGAGTCTCTGACAAACCATCCCCACATGGGACATCACTCAAGCAGGAAAAGACCATTCCCTGTTTTACAGTAGACGGGTATCCTATACACTTGTACCTTGACACAGTCAGCATGTAGCACCTACCGTTGTATTAATAAATATAATGAGATAAGAAAGACATTGATCTCTCCAGCTCAGTCCTTGTAAACAGGTCACTTATCCGGTAATATTTCCACAGAGCCATCATAACACACTGAACTTTGTACGTAGCAATCAGCAGCCTCCCTAGATAACTAGACGCCGGGTGACGTAGCAGCCACTATCTCCCACCAAGGGGAGACTCGGAGGTGTTTCTAGAGAGACAAAGCTTGGCTCATTGTATAGAGATGTCTCCAAGTCTCCTCTACCTGTACGCAGGGCAGACACTCAAAGGTAGTAGTTGATGCGAGATGGGATTGTTTTGCAGCCCGTCGATGAGAAAACCTTTTCGGCTTCAGGAATGTAAACCAGACTGTCTGCCACAGACTGAACAATATCTCTCTCATTCGCCAAGCGTTGCTGTACCAGCTCACTGCGAACGCACTGTCTGACGTGGTTAGGACGCAGGGGTAAAAAAGGCACAATGAAGTCTATGAGGTTCTGCTTGATGATCTCGGACCGCCAGAAGCCATCTGCCAAAGAAGATGCGCATATAGTAAATAGCATAGGAGATTTCTCAGGCAGGCAGAGTAATACACTTAAAAAGGAGAACTATGGGGGTCAGTGTTTTTCCCCATAGTTCTCCTTAGGGTAACGGGAGGACACAAACTAGCGTCCTCCCGTTAACCTAAGCTCAGTATACCGCGAGCTACAGCTCGCGGTATACTGAGACGCCGCAGCCAGAGCGGATCCCGACTTAGATGACGGGATCCTCCCAGCTGCGTGAGTGACAGCTGGCTCTGCCTATCTAGAGGCAGAGCCAGCTGTACCCGCCCCCTCCCCCGTCCGTTCCGCCAGTCAGCGCTGGCGGATCGGGGGGGGGAGAGGGGAATCCAGCCCCTCCCCCTGACACGGCAGAGGGCCGTGACAGGATCAAGAGGTGAGCGAACGCCGGTATGTGTTCGCTCACCTCCCGATCTACTGAGCCGACCTGTGACAGTCTCATTGTCACAGGTCGGCTAGAACTATGAGGGGAGTGAAAAGCACTCCCCTCATAGTTCTCCTTTAATGCATGTTTGTATCTATTACCCATTAAGGGCAAAGTGGCAGGTTCTCTTGACAGCCCCTTCACCAACACTAATCCCTATGTAAATTCTGTGTTGGCCAGTGTCTGAGCTTACAAAGGCTAAATCTCCACACTTGCACAGTTGAAAGATGTATCTATATATATATTGGCAAAAGTATTGGGAAGCCCCTCCAAATCATTGATTCAAGGTTTTTTTTCCGTGACATTTCCTTGCTACTAAATATCCCACGGTCACCTGTTAGTGGTATTATAACAAAGTCGAAGCAACTGGGAACAACAGCAACTTAGCCACGAAGTGGTAGGCCATGTAATATGACAGAGCGTGCTCAGCACATGCTGATCCAGGAGAACGGTATTTGCCTGACTGCATTGTGCCAAGTGTAAAGTTTGGTGGAGGGGGGATTATGGGGAGGAGGGGGGGTCCAGGGGTTGGGCTTGGCCCCTTAGTTCCATTGAAGGGAACTCTTAAAGCATCAGCATACCAAGACATTTTGGACAATTTCATGCTCCCAGTTTGGGGATGGCCACTTCCTGTTCCGACATGACTGCGCACCAGTGCACAAAGCAAGGTCCATAAAGACATGGATGGGGGAGTTTGTGGTGGAGGAACTTGACTGGCCTGCACAGAGTCCTGACCTCAACCCGATAGAACACCTTTGGGATGAATTAGAGTGGAGACTGCGAGCCCGGCCTTCTCGTCCAACATCAGTACCTGACCTCACAAATGGTCCAACATTCCCATAGACACACTCCTAAACCTTGTGGACGCCTTCCCAGAAGAGTTGAGGCTATTGTAGCTGCAAAGGGCGGAGCCAACTCAATATTGAACCTTTCGGACTAAGACTAGGATGCCATTAAAGTTCATGTGCGTGTAAAGGCCGGCGTCCCAATACTTTTGGCAATATAGTGTATGTCATGGGTATTGTCCATTGTGACGGTGCTGCAGTGACACAAGCACAGTACATTGTTCAGTCTATGACAGTAAGCTGCACTCACGTTCACGGTCTGATATCACAGCGTTGGCTATAGCCGGCCCTACATCGCTCAGCTGGATCTCTTCTCTGTCCCGGCGTTCTCTCCAGAATTTCAGAGCTACCCGATTGATGTCATCTCCTCCTGAATTGCTGCAAACACAAGTATATTAGTGGGATCGTCTCAGAATACACATCCTAAACAAAGATGGATTTTGGTCAATTTCATATAGTGGCGTAGCACACATTTTCGATGTGGTGTATAACATTAATGTGTTACTGCAACACTGCATGTTGTGGAGCCTTCTACTTTCTCACCAGATGTTATTCAGCCCTAGCAATAAGCTGCTCATCCTGAGAGGAGGTCACATGCTCCCGTATACCTGGAAACACCATTTTGTTATTTTTCAGACAGTTCAGGCAGAAGAAAGAAGCAGTAAGGAGCGTGGTAAAGAGGAGTATTGGCGGGTGGGAGGTCGTTCTTTCAAGAAAATAATCTTTTTAACATAAGTAAATAATTGTAGCTAAGGTCACCAGTTCCTTATGAAGAGAAATATAAAGGTGACCAGTTCCATAAAGCACCAGGTCACGGACTAACCCTATGAAGATATATATATAAGTGACCAGTTCCTTATGAAGATAAATATAAAAGTGACCAGTTCCTTAAAGCACCAGGTCGTGGACTAACCTTATGAAGATAAATATAAAGGTGACCAGTTCCCTAAAGCACCAGATCACGGACTAACCTGATGAATATAAATATAAAGGCGACCAGTTCCTTGAAACACTGAAACACTAGGTCTAGGACTAACCTTATGAAGATACGAATATATAATTAGAATTGATATATATAGAAAATGTGACTAGTTTCTTGAAGAACGTGGTCATGGACTAAGCTTATAGGGTTAAATATAAAGTTGACTAGTTCTTTGAAGGAGGTCATGGACTAACCTTATCAAGATAAATATAAAGTGTGCAGTTCCTTGAAGAATAAGATCATGGACTAACCTTATAGGGCTAAATATAAAGGTGACCAGTTCCTTAAAACACTAGATCATGGACTAACCTTATATATACATGTGACTAGTTTCTTGAAGAACGAGGTCCTGGACTAACCTTGTAGAGTTAAATATGAAGTTGACCAGTTCTTTGAAGAAGGAGGTCACGGACCACCTTGTGAAGACAAATATAAGGTTGACCAGTTCCTTGAAGAACAAGGTCAAGGACTAACCTTATGAAGATAAATATAAAGGTGACCAGTTCCTTGAAGAACGAGGTCAAGCACTAACCTTATGAAGATAAATATAGCCTTCTTGTAATTTGAGCCAAACACCACCCACGACGGGCCCAGGAAGGGGACGATGACATCAATGAGCCCCGGGTGCATTTTGTCCATCTCCTCAAACAGGAACAAGGATCGGCCACAAGCAGTGAGGTTACCCTGGATCCACTGTTTGAGATTCTCCTAGAAGATGAAGATACAAGTCATGACAATGGACATTTATCAGAACAATGAATCAGTCTTCCTCCTCGTGTCTCCACAATGTGTCCACCTGCACTGTGAGAAAGGGGAGCTGTCAGGATAGAGATCTGAGAGCTGGCAATGATAACTCATTTATAAAAGGTGCAGTGCTGTCATCCCGATCCTTCCATCACTGGAGTTCAGCTTTACGTTACCCCTTAACCCCAAAGTCTTTTGCTCACCAGCCTACATCCCTGCCTGATCCACACTGTGCTCGGTGAGGAATAATCCCATTCACTCCCATGGAGAGGCCGTGTTACATGTATTGTTATGACATGTGATGGACGGCCTCACCATATAAATGGATTCCCTCCATGGCAGGGAGAGTTTGCTGTGTGGCTTCCTGAGGGCCCCGCAGTGTGGATCTGGCAGGAGCATAGACAGGCAAGTAAAAGACTTTAGGGGGAAGGGAAGTAGCTGTATCTTTTAACCCCCCTGATGCTGACTCCTTAAGGCTGGGAGTTGGAGGCAGGCATCCCGATCATGTGATGAGCTGTCACATGATCAGGAGCTGGCCCCCAGTTTTAAATAGTGACCAGTGGCATCACAAGGGGGGTGCGGCTCACCATTGGAGGGGTGTCACCTGGATGTGTACTCTGAGCCTGATGAAGGGGACCCTGCGTGGCCCCGAAAGTGCTTGATATTCCGAGTGGCATCTATCATTAAATGGATTTGCACGGACTTATGAGTTTCTGTCGTGCTGATGACATCTTTATTCACTATTGGAGGGGTGACACCAAAATGACTGACAGTCATTTTGGTGTCACCCCCCTCTAAAAAGTCAGGCACTCGGACATGGACCGAGAACCCAACGGTGTAAGGAGAGAGGAGGGGAGCCAGCGGCATACCTCATGCTGCCAGGTGAAGTCCCCTCCTCTCTCTGCCAGCATCCATCACCAAGATGGCCACCGGCAGGCGTCAATTAGATGACCTTGCATGCGCGATGACGTCATCGAGTATGCCAGTGGTGACGTCATCGCGCATGCGCAATGATGTCACTGTGGGGTGTGACCCCCCCGGAGGGTGCTAGAGACCGTGCTCTCGGTACTGAACCATAGGGGCTGCCTGACGCACACATGCATACAGCTGGTATAAAGTCCCGCCCACCAGGGTGACACATACGTGTAATGCCGGAAAGAAAGGTATTAGCCATCAGACAACATTTGGTGGCCCACCTTGTACTGATCGAGATTCTGAGCATGAGGGAAGTCCAGGATGGGAGAGAAGTGATGGACGTACGGGCTGCGGATTCCATCTCTGTACAAATGTTTCACCATCAGGGAACTCAGGAACGTCTTGCCTGTGCCACTCCAGCCGTGGAAGGATAATACAAGCGGCTTGCTGGGGTAATCCGTCTCCACAAACTCCCTCAGAGCTTTCACCACCAGCTCCTGGGCCAGGTGCTGCCCAAACAAATTCCGAGCAAGGTCACACTCCAAGGCTGCAAAGACAAGACCAGACAACAAGATAAAGAAACGCACAAGGAAAGAATTTTCTAGCAGCGCATTCAATAGTCCTTCCTACCTCTTATGTTTTTTTGCCATGCATGGGTTTGGTCCCTGTGCACTACATGCTTTGCTCTGAACACTGAGACTTGTCGTTGCGTCACCGGTCGCTTAAAAGGGCAGAATTGTGCGTTTTCAGCCCCACAGACTGTAATGTGAGCGTCTGAAAAATGCACAATTTTGCATCTAAGAACCATCTCCTCCTCCTAGTAACACTCAAGCCTGAAAAAGCATAATAAAAACGTGCAAAAAAAGTTTAAAGATCCCCTGAAAAGTGCAAACGGCGACTCACACGCATGTGTGGGCGCTAGGGCACACGCCTTAGATGGCACAGGGGCCCTAAAGAATAACTTTATTTATATACAACTTAGGTTTTACAGCCCATAATAATTCTCCCCCCTTGTACATGCCTCAGATCAGTGGGCAGCCCAAATGCAGAAGCCGCAGCCTACATCATTCGTTGCTGTACACGTACGGTCTATTCTCCATAGGCCCTGATGATAAAGGCACCACAGTCCAAGACTGGAAGGAGATGCCGGCATTGCCATTAGGACTCCACAGATGCAGTGGCCGCGCTGGCTCAGAAGGCAACAGCGTCAACCCCAGCATAGGCACCAGGTCCCCCACCGATAAGAACAAGGGGCATATCTTGAGGAAGGCAAATGGGGGAGCTGTAAGGCTGTCGTTGTATAAAAGTGGAGTTACCCTTTAATAATGACACAGAGCTGATCTCTAGTCACGTGACGCACATGACTTTGTTTCTGGAGGGCCTCTTTAAATGAAGGGAAACGTCCCCACCAGTGGACTATACCATTTAGTACACGGAGGGGGGCGGATCTGCCCAGAGAATTGTTAGTCGCTCTTTCACTCACCGTCCAAGCTGGGCTGGAAACCGCACTCACAGGAGCTGCTGGGGTACAGGCTGCATTGGAGGGAGGACAGCTGCCAGCACATCCCGGAGCCAGCAGCCCACAGCACCAACAACACCAGACGGCCAGCCATCCTCACCTCACCCGCGGCATGACGGGTAATGTAGTCCGTTTCCCCCCTCAGCTTCTCAGCGGGGCTAATGGTTGGCCTCGGCGTCACGTGACCGCCGATGTCAGCAGCTGGCCGCCATGTTGGTAGAGGAAGTCTGACGTGTGTGTATATAATGCCTCCAACAGCACAGTCGAATGATGCTGATTGTGATCAGTCTTTCTTATGTAGCAGACATTGTATCCTGTGTGTACCGGGTGTATGCTCTGTCAGTCAGTACATCCACAAACGTAAAGGAAAGCTGAGCCTAGGCATGACCAAGCAACTAACGTGCCACCTCTCCCCCATCTTGTGGCCCCCAGTGTGTAATATTTTTTTAAAATTCATACTAACCCTTTTCCAGGTGTGTTTGGGTAAAGCAGAGCTATGGTTGCTTTCCCTCAAGTTATGTGTGCAAACTCCCTGGCTGGCGCTGACATCTTTTGTGGTTGGGATTTTGGGCCATGCTGATTGTCCACATCAGGAAGGATGGTGTAACACATATGTGTAGCTACATTGTGAACACCTTGCAGTGGCGATGCTTGTCCTAGCAACCATTGATGTTATGTTGTGCCCTAGCAACTTATGACATGTGTGGTGTCCTAGCAACCAATGAGGCTCCTCCTGGCAACTAATGATGTGTGGTGCCCTAGCATGCAATGTCACTCATCCTAGCAACTAATGATGTTATGTGGTGCCCTAGTAACCAGTGATGCTCATCCTAGCAATCAATGAGGTTATGTGGTGCCCTAGTATCCAATGGCGCTTGTCCTAGCAACCAATTATGTCGTGTGGTGCCCTAGCAGCCACTGACACTTGACCTTGCAACTATTGACATTGTGTGGTGCCCTATCATGCAATGGTGCTCACCCTAGCAACCAAAGACGTTATGTGGTGCCCTAGCATCCAATGGCGCTTGTCAGAGCAACCAATGACGCTGTATGGTACCCTAACATCCAATGACACTCATCTTAGCAAACAATAATGTTATGTGGTTCCTTAACACGCAGTGACACTTGTACTAGCAACCAATGACATTATGTGGTGCCCCAGCATCCAATGACGCTTGTCCTAGCAACCAGTGACGTGTGGTGCCCTAATATCCAGTGACGCTTGTCCTAGCAACCAATGATGTTGCGTGGTGCCCTAACATCCAGTGACAATGTGTAGTGTCCTAGCAATAAGGTTATGAGGTGACCTAGCAACCAATAAGGTTATGATGTGCCCTAGCATCCAATGATACTCATCCTAGCAACCAAAGAAGTGTGGTGCCCTAGGACCCAGTGATGCTTGTCCTAGCAAGCGTGGCAATTGTCCTAGCAAGCGTGGCCTAGTAATTGTGTGGTGCCCTAGCATTTAATGACTCTCATCCTATCAACCAATGACATTGTGTGGTGCCCTAGCATCCAATGACATTTGTCCTAGTAACCAATGATGTTATGTGGTGCCCTAGCATCCAATGTCGCTCGTCCTAGCAACCAATGATGTTGTGTGGTGCCCTAGCATACAATGACGCTCATCCTAGCAACCAATGACGTGGTGTAGTGCCCTAGCATTCAGTGACACTCACCCTAGCAACAAATTACATTGTGTGGTGCCATAGCATTGAATTACGCTCGTCCTAGCAACCAATTATGTTGTGTGGTGCCCTAGCATTCAATGACGCTTGTCCTATGATGTTGTGTGGTGCTCTAACATCCAGTGACGCTTGTCTTAGCAAGCAGTGACGATTGACCTCACAATGTCCCTGGTTTCTAGGATGCCGGTGACCCAGAGGCAGTGGGCATGACATGTATGTGAATTTATTTATGTATTTTTGGTAAATTGTTTGTTTACACAGGACACGGCTGTCACAGTCAGAGCAAGAATGTTGTAACAACAATCAAGTCAATACATCATTTCTAGAGCAGGAAACCTGTTTCCAATAAACAAACATGATGTGTAACATCCACCCCATATTCATTAAATAACTGGAGTACGTGCAACTCCATCGTCCATGTTATAAACTAAGGAGAGATGGGAAGTCCTGGGGACTTGTATTCCCTAGAGCGGATAAAATGCTCAGCCCAGGAGCCTCCGTGCCGCTTCAATGACGGCCCAGCCTGCACGGCATCAGAGGGGCCCGGGGACCACTAAAATGTTCTCGCGGACCACCAGTTGGCGACCGCTGATTTAGAAGACTTTTTTTTGTAGTCCGAGGAGGAACAGGTGAGCACGGGAGCTGGTTTTCATCTTGTTACTGCCAAGCTGTAATACTTACAATGATGGAAGTTAAAGAGTCCAAACACACACCTTTTGTTCACTCTTCTCAACTGCCAAGCCAAGAAGATACCCTATATACAGTATCTGGGTATGGAGGACCATGTGACCCACTTCCTCTCATGTGACAGTGTAAGCTCTGCCATCCAGTGGAAGTGGAAAGTCCTCAACCTAGTCCAAGCTCCAACCAGGGGGACTCTTGAGGTTACACAGGAATGGTTGTCATCCATTCTGATAGCTGAACAGAGCAGCGGGGGGTTCATGCGTTGGGGGGGGTACCAAGGAAAGGTGAGCATGCGGTGGGAGGGGCTGCCAAGGAAAGGTGAGCATGCATTGCTGGTTGGGCATAGCACAGGTTTGCTTTACCACCTCAAGAGAACTCCAGCTTAGAAGAAGTACAAGTACACAAATGGTTTACATCAATACATTTATTTACATGGATATGAGTAGCACATGGCTATGTACAATGAGATGATGTGAATTACTGTACAACCAGACAGTGCACCGCTATTTACACAGGAGCGCCGAGGCCTATGTACACCAGAGTCATTTACTCTGCACCAGGGGTAGCCAAACTCCGGCCCTCCAGCTTTGGTGGATCTACAAATCCTATGAGGCATTGCAAGATTCTCACAGCCACAGACGTGACTCCCGGAGAGAGATGCATCATGGGATTTGTAGTTTTTCACCACAGCTGGAGGGCCGGAGTTTGCTTACCCCTGCTCTACACATACATCAACTGACATTCATCATCCTGCAACTCTCTCCGGGTATATACAGAAACTTGGAGAAAGGAAGCTGTGTTACCCATCCCAACCAATCAGACTTCTGCTTTCATTCTCCATGCTATACATACTACAGATGGGCCACTATGTTTCATTTACACCAACTTTTGAACACGGCTCCTATTGGGAATTGCTGTCCCCAAGGAGGGAAGCCGGATATTCTGTACATTCGGTATACGGTATATTCAACAGCTTCTTTTACTTAGCAAAATGACGACAAACTTCACAGCTTTTTCGGGATGACGTATAATTGAGACCCTTCAATGGCAAAATGGCTGGCAATATATTTATGTACATTTGTGCAAACATATTCTTTTGTGTTTTTTTTTACAGTCCCGTCTAATGATCCTCTAAACCCTTGGTTCTCAACTGGTGGGTCGTGACCCAAAAGTGGGTCGCGACCCTGTGTTCAGTGGGTCGCCGCATGCCTCCCCCTTTTCTAGGTGAGAGACTCCTCAGCCTCCCCCTAGTGCAGCATTGTCAGTTCTCGCACCAAGCAGCCATTCAAAATATGCTGCCCGGTGCCGAGTGTCAGCTTAAAGTGGGATGGGGGCAGGGGCGTAACTAGAAATCACAGGGCCCCATAGCAAAATTTTGTATGGGGCCCTGTGATTTCTAGTTACGCCCACCTGATAACCCAAACAGCCCACCTAAGGGTGACCCTGCAGAGCCCACCATAGACTCTCTGAGGTAGGCTCTGCAGGGCCTCAGGCGGGCGGTCAAGCCCTCTTACCTGTCAGCCCTGATCCTCTGTCCGCCTCCTTCTCCTCCACGATCGACTCCTCTGTCACTAGGCCCCGCCTCCTCGATCACCGGGCCGGCCCCTCGATTGTCGGGCCCCGTCCCCACCCCTGATTTACTGAAAATGGCTGCCTTGCTTTAGTACTATGAGACGCTGACCCGGAACAAGTGTGCAAACCAGGAAAATCAAAGTGATTTCCTAAATCTACATATTTGTTCTAAGTCAGTACCTTAGAAAGTACTGAAGTCACGGAACCACCATGACATCCAGGGAACCAGGGAACGTGAGGTTAGTAATGGCAGCCTCCGTATTCCTTTCTACGGCTTTTCTTCTGAAAGTGAACCTTGGCAAACCAGAATGATCATGTTATAGTGTGAAGTGTAATCTGTCTGTAGTTCATTTAAAGCTGAACTCCAGGCACACACCCAAACACACAGATGAAATACTTATATGGGAGCTGTTTTGCATGCCAAAGGATTTGTATTTCTGTCCATCCATCTGTGATAGTTATACAGCTCATGGCTATATTATACATGGCTGCTCTCTGCAGTAATACATAGCTAGTCCTACGACTGATCAGGAAATGGGTTTTAGCTGCTGCTATCTTTATATAAAAATTATAATGATGTTTTTCCAGGAGAGCCGTCAGCCATCTATTATACGGTAGTAGAAGTGAAGATATTTTACTGACGGTTTTATAAAACATGTGACCCCCCCCCCATGTGATATTTGGCAGGCATGTAGACAAACATCACAATCTCCGCCTTCATCTGTCTAATTTATTTTTTTTGTCTCCCCATACTTCGCATAAGCTTAGTGAAATGCCCATTTTTATTGCAGTAAGTTGAAAATCATTATTGAACTGTAAAAGGTGAAAAAGAGAATGAGTTGGCTGGTCCTGAGGATGGAAATTGTGGTGCCCATAGTACCCAATCAGATTTCAGCTAAGTAAATTAAATACATTACATTGCTGGTTGTCACAGGCAAAATCAATCAATGGAAGTGACTTAAAGGAGAACTATGGGGTTAGGGCTTTTCCCCATAGTTCTCCTTAGGGTAACGGGAGGACGCAAACTAGGGTCCTCCCGTCACCCTAAGCTCAGTATACCGCAATCTACAGCTCGCGGTATACTGAGACGCTGCAGCTCACGTTATACTGAGATGCCGCAGCTGAAACGGATCCCACCAATTATGTCTGGATCCGCCCAGCTGCGTGAGTGACAGCTGGCTCTGCCTATCTAGAGGCAGAGCCAGCTGTACCCGCCCCCTCCCCGTTCCGCCAGTCAGCGCTGGGGGATCGGAGCGGGGAGGGGGGGAATCCAGTCCCTCCCCTGTCACGGCTCTGTGCTGTGACAAGATAGAGAAGTGAGCGAACGCCGGTATGTGTTCGCTCACTTCCCGATCTACTGAGCCGACCTGTGACAGTCTCATTGTCACAGGTCGGCTAGAACTATGAGGATGAGTGAAAAGCACTCGCCTCATAGTTCTCCTTTAAATTAAGACCTGGCATAAGACAAGCATCATTTGTACACATGCCATTCCCTTTATAATCAGTAGATGACACCTAATACATTTATAACTCCATGCACATACTGGCCATATGTTGGCTGCATGGGGTCACCAATTTGTACATTTTACCCCCTTCATGGCAGTTGGATTCAGTATTATACGTATATGGCCATCATAGCAAGGGGTTGATCTTTATACTTGTTCATCTTGTTAATAAGCAATTAAAGTTCTCTGATACATAATGGGAGGAATTTATCAAAACTGGAGCAAACAGAGTCTGGAGCAGTTGCCCATGGCAACCAATCAGCATCTCTCTTCAGCTTGCTCAGGTAAGATTTGAAAATGAGAGAGAGAAGCTGATTGGCTGCAGTGAAAATCTGCTCCACATTTTGTCTGCTCCAGTTTTTATAAATTCCCCCCCAATGTATTTTTGACAGTTGTCATGAATATAGTGATTTTACAACTCTGTTCATATTTGGCATTTTGGTCTGGTCGTTTCAGGCAGTCTATGGGTACTAGGGATGCACAGATACTTTTCGAGTACCATTGCAGATACTTGGCATTTTCATGAGATCTACCAGGGTTGCAGAGGTTGCAGCTGGGACCTGGCTCTGGCGCTCCACCACTGACCTGAAATCATTAGTCTGTATTGTTTTAGAAAAACTGTCACATGACAATAAACAAAAATGTATCAGTACTCGTACTTGTAAGTACTCGGCAAGTACCAGTACTTGTACTCGCAAAACTGGTATCTGTACATCCCTTTATTTATATTTATAAAAACAAAATCATACATTAAAACAGAGATGTACAAATCCCAGGAGCTCCGTGTGCTCCTTACAAATGACAGCGGCCTCCTACTTTTTGAATTTTTCTCTAGTCTAGTCTTGGAGCTCAAAAGTATCTGTAATGTACCGAGTACTGTACTTGGTATCTGTGCAACCCTAATGGGTACCCAGGCATTGTGAAACTACAAGTCCCAGGATGACTTGCTAAAATCATTCACAGTAGCTAGGCACTCCAATTTTATGGGCCTATTGTTTATTCCCCCACCAAAAAATATATTGATCTGTGAGCCACCAGCCCTTCAAAAATGATCCTGGTCCTTAAAAATTAGGGTCAGTTGGGAGAAATGCCATGTGCCGAGGTCTGTAGCAACTTACAGGAACGAAGCTCAGTGCTTTTGCTCACTCCTAGACCCACCACAAGCATCTCCCCTTCCACCTGAGCTCTTTCATTCATTCATTGGATGACCTCCAATCGGGTATGACTAATCACAAGCCCTGCAGTCAGTAGCCATTTACTCAATGCCATTATGGCGCTACGTAAAATGAGACACTGCACTTGTCCAGGTCCAACCTCCATTTTACACCAGAGCTCCCGAAGCGGCCAAACATCCAGATTTATGATACAAAAGTAGAATATTTGTCAGGTCTAAGCCAAGTATAATTTTTCCTAAATGAATACATACAGTGCAGCCATTTTTTGGGGGGAAATTTTCTAAAGATCCAGCATGCACTGCGGCAAAATATTGGCCTCCATAACAGAAGCCACTGAAAAGTGCTATTTGTTTCCTCAAACAAGTCTCTGAGATGCATTGCATTGGGCATGTTTTGTCCCTTTCACATCCTTCCCTCACAACGATTCAGTCTCTACCTCCAGGTGCAGTGTTATAATTCGCTGAAGCGCACTGAGGGCTCCAGCTTGTGTGACAGCGCGCTGAGGACTTTGTCAAATTTGTCGTATCTCTCGGTTTGGCTCCCTGCTGCTCCTCGGCTGCCCCACAGCATTCGCATTTGGAACTCGGTACTGGAGACCTCTGCGAGATCCGATCTGGGGTGGAAACCTGTTGAGAGGTGGAAAACACACAATCAGGCAAGGGTCTACACAGGAACTGACAATATACTCTATTATACTCCAGGGCCAGACAACATTTTGGTTTAATTTCTGTCTGGAGCAGCCATTCTCAACCATGTTTCATGAAACTCTAGGGTTCCTCCAAATGTTGCTGGAGGTTCCTTAAGCTGTGGCTGATTGGCCTCCCATTTGATGGTCCCTACTGTCAGGAACCAGATCTGAACCCAGGGCCTCTGCTGTAGCTGGCAGTGGTTCTACCTGCTGAGCCACTTTAGAACCTTGGATAGCTCTGTGCCTGATCTCCTGTGTAATCCTCAGTTAAACCTAGTTTCTGCTGAACTCTGAACTCCTTGCTCCTCCCTTGAACTTCCTATTTAAGCCATGCCTCTGCACTTCCTGTTTGCCAGATTATTGTGCTCCTGCCAATATCTTGCTTCATGCTTGCTCTGTGATACAATCTGCTCATACTGCTACCCGTGTACCGACCTTTGGCTGCTGATTCATCGACTACTCTAATCGTCTTCTGATTCATACCTGATACGTTTGGCTACTGACCTCGGCTTGTTCGCCGACTACGCTTCTGCCTGCTCCTTATACTACTACCCTTGTGTACCAAACCCGGCCTGTTATACTACCAATTGCCTGCTGCTTCAGCTGCTGGACTCTGAGCCTGATCCCAGATCGTGACACTAGGGTTCCTCCAAACGTTGCTGGAGGTTCTTTGAGCTGTGGCTGATTGACCTCCCATTTGATGGTGCCTACATAGTTCCAGGGCCAACACCACTTGACAGAGTCAGCAGCGTGACACTGATAATCTTTTAGGCTGTCTGTAGGGTGACAATTCCCTTACACCACTGTAAGGAAGGCATTCTTCCCACGGAAATCAAGTGGTATTTTCCCAATGACCTCTGAGAGTTCCTTGAGACCTGAAGATTATTTCAATGGCTCTGGAGTAAAAAGGTCAAGAAAAGCTGGTATAAAGTGAGGAAGGGTCAAATTAAATTTTTTTTTTCTTGTTGGAGAAATATCCCCTCACTTCCTGTTCTGGTGACACGCTGCAGCTGGGACAGGAACTGATGGCAACTTTCTGCAACAAGAACAGTAGCAGAGTTGGGAAGAGTTTGACCTCTGTTGGATTTTCATAAATCTCTGGCCTTACGTTAGGAGAACATTATTGTACTAGTCAAAGCTGGACCGGCATTTCTGCTGTGCTGGCAGGGAGGGCGGGTGAACACGGTTATTGAATACACTGCATCCATGCATTATGTAATAGATGATTATATAGACATGAGTCAGCCTGTTGAGCAGCCTTGATAAATGATGAATTTATGCATGTATGTGTCACAGCAGCCAGCATGATAGTCTTCAGTAATTAATGAGAACTGCAGAGATGCATTACCTTGATGGATATTAGACAAGGCGCCAGACACAGGAGAAAGGTGATGTGCTCACATCTCAGATACATGTCATGTTTTTGAGGAACATCATTTTTCTGGTACACACATATAGCTGTATTATGATTAGAAGAGCTAGATGGTGGTGCATGTAGGGTTCAATGCACAGTACTGGGAGTAAATGAAAGGCTTAATCCTCCCAGGCCTCATATATAAAGAAGAAATATCTAAACCTTAGCCACAGGTATCCATTACATTTAGAAAACAGGGTACTCTCCCCTCCATAAGTAGACGGGGCCACCCAAGCCTTTACCTTCACTGCTGGTCTGATCTACAATAGATTTGCCAATCCATGGATGACATATAGCACAGAGAGCCTTTACCCAAGCCTTTACCTTTACTGCTGGTCTGATCTACAATAGATTTGCCATTCCATTGATGACATATAGCACAGAGAGCCTTTACCCAAGCCTTTACCTTTACTGCTGGTCTGATCTACAATAGATTTGCCATTCCATGGAAGACATATAGCACAGAGAGCCTTTACCCAAGCCTTTACCTTTACTGCTGGTCTGATCTACAATAGATTTGCCAATCCATGGATGACATATAGCATAGAGAGCCTTTACCCAAGCCTTTACCTTTACTGCCGGTCTGATCTACCATAGATTTGCCAATCCATGGATGACATATAGCACTTTACCTTTACTGCTGGTCTGATCTACAATAGATTTGCCAATCCATGGATGACATATAGCATAGAGAGCCTTTACCCAAGCCTTTACCTTTACTGCCGGTCTGATCTACCATAGATTTGCCAATCCATGGATGACATATAGCACAGAGAGCCTTTACCCAAGCCTTTACCTTTACTGCCGGTCTGATCTACAATAGATTTGCCATTCCATGGATGACATATAGCACAGAGAGCTTTTACCCAAGCCTTTACCTTTCCTGCTCGCCTGATTTACAATAGATTTGCCATTCCATAGATGACATATAGCACAGAGATCAGCATTGGAGGAGGCTATAGACTTTTCTTTGGGAGAAGAGCAGACAACAGAAACAGTGGTAGGAGAGCTAAAGAGGTCAACGGGTAACTGAATCTTCCATCATGGCCATGAGTAGATATCTCTTGGCCTTCAAATTTGGAACTGTATCTTATGTGGATGCTGGTATGTTGCATCACCCACAGCTCTCCAAGATGTCTCCACTGGAGTATCCTTCTCTATCTTCTCTACTCCTGCCTTGAAAAATGTGGGTTTTTTATCAATTTAAATAAGGTTCTGTCTGCTTTTTGCAAGGGTAAACGTTCTATGATGTGTCCAGATGTGTAGCACCTCCCACTGCCTCAAAATGCTCCACTTTTTGGTTATGGCATTAAAAATGGAAGAGGTCTGTGAAAAGTATTTTACCCCTTGATATCCTAACATAGTTAGGACATCACTATTTCCTAAACATTGTTTATTGCTGACTGATTAGTCAAGACAAGTAATCAAAGCGGAAAAGAACCCTACAGGATGTTCAGACCTGCTTGGCTTGCTGCAGTACTTGAACAATTAACCCCTTGGGGGGGGGGGGGGCTACCAGCTTTGTTTGTAGAATGTATCTGTTGAGTGAATGTAATATGTTGGCTTACCCTGCAGCCTCATCTCAGCATTGGTCCGGTACAGGCCTCCATGATGTGCCACCATCCTGGCTGCTTCCAGGTGAGCCATCACCACTTCGACACCATTGTCAATGCTATCCCAGGGCTCTCCTCCATCCAGCAGAGGGCCATCTCGCTCCAGAAGAGTGATGAGAGGGACAATGTGCGGGAAGGTTGTATTGCTCAATGGGAGGCTCTCTGCAAGAAATTCAAAATCCTTGTAACTATGGTAAGACAAGCATGCCAAAGCTCCAAACACTTTCTCATACTTCTCATATTTAGTATCCTGCAAGTTCTCTATAGAATGACTCATCTCGATGATCCCAATGTCAATATTTTGTGGATTTGTAATGACCACACCACTCGGAGGGGAAGTGTAAGCAAAACCAGTAGCTTGTTCAACAATTCCCCTATGAACAAAGACTTCCTGAACCACAGATATTTCGGTCATCATATCACTTCAGTTTTGGACACTTCAACATTGCGGTCATAAAACCGAAAGTATCGGCATGGCTTTTTCACTATTTTGAAATAAGGAATAATCCCCATTTCTATGGCAGAAACCATAACAACTTTTGTTTTTAAAGGTCAAGTGTGTGGTTTCCTGTATTTTCATAGAGGTGCACCTTTACCTTAATGTGACACATTTCTCTTCAACTGTAGACCCTAACCTCCAACGCTAAGGGGCTTATTTATAACAGAGAGCAGATATTTCTCCATTACACAGTGCTTTGTGTACACCACAGCCCATCTCATTTTTAAAAATGGGACTGTGGTGAGTAGCCAGCAGAGCCCCATGGTCCATGACTGGAGTCGGCCATGTGATTTTGACAGGACTTTTACCCTGAACTTTCATCCAGTTCTATGGAGCTCTTTTGGCTTCAGAGTCCCTCTTTGTGACGATCTGAGACCTTGTTTGCCTTGAACTAAAACTGCTGAAACTGAGGTTTGTACTAGGGATGCACCGATACCGGTTTTTCTGTATTGAGTACGAGTACCGATATTTATATTTCTGTACTCGCCGATACCGAGTACCGATACCGGTACTTCCGGTAGCTTAGAGCCGGCTTCCCGGGCAATCAGGAAGCCAGGCTGCGTGTCATTACCCACCACCCGGCTTCTTGATTGCCCGGGAAGCCGACTCCATTCTGTTTTGCCAGCTGGATGATAATTGGTCGGGAAGCCGGCTTCCCAGTCAATCGTCATCGAGACCGGCCAAACAGATCTGACAATATGGTGACACAACCCCCACCCTGCAGGCATCTCATTCCCCTCACATAGATACTTAGCAGCATTCATTACCAGTCCCTCGGCCAGCTGGGCAGACATTGCTCTCCGGGATCTGTCCATGTCTCCTGCGTGAACAGCGCCCACGCGATCGGCCCTCAGCCTTCTACTGCGCATGCGCAGACTGCCCAGCGCTCTCATTCAGAAACCCTGGGCATGCGCATTAGCAGGCTAAGGGCCGATCACGTGAGCGCTGTGCACACAGGAGAAGTGGGCAGATCCCGGAGAGCTTGGAGAGTGGTGTCTGCCCAGCTGGCTGAGAGACTGGTACAGTAATGAATGCTGCTTAGGATCTATGTGAGGGGAATGATTTGTCTGCAGGGTGGGGGTCATGTCGCCATATTATAAGATTTGTTTGCCCGGCTCGATACTGACTGGGAAGCCGGCTTCCCGGCCAATCGGCATCGAGGCGGCCAAACAGCATGGAGCCAGCTTCCCGGCTCCATGTTCCCTCGCGGCACTGCCGGTCCAGAGGAAATCTCCCTTTGACCGGAAGTTCCAGTATCGGGAAAGGTATCGGAGCATTTGGGCGAGTACTCCCCCAAATACTCGGTATCGGCACCGATACTGATACTAGTAGCGGTATCGGTGTAGCCCTAGTCTGTACCAATGATATTCCTCATTCATTAGAATATATTGGGGGTATTTGAAGTTGTCCACAGTTATCACAGTTCAGCCTTATATATCCTATGTGGTGGGGCTTGGAAGTAGCTGACTAAGTCATTACCTTTGCCCTCATTCATGCTCTTTAGAAACGGTTTGAGCTTCTTCTCATACAAGATGGCCCCTTCTGTGTGCCTCTGTCTCAGGGTAACCCACGTCTGTTCCAGTCTTGAGATCTGTCGAGAAGCAGACACTTAATAACGCTGCGTGTAGAAAATGCATTAATCTAGCTGTGTTATGGCAGCGTTTCCTTCCAGGCATTAATAGAGCAGGCGGGAGGTCTCATTATGTGCGGACGGCCTCCCTCCCTCACCAGTTTACAAATGTGACACCAAATGAAAAGAGTCACATTATATCCTGGCTCTGATCCAGATGTCCCATGGCTAAATCGGACTATTTATCTGTCAGCTTTGACTAAGTATAGAGAAGACACAACAACCTTACATGACCGGATATTTGCCAAGGGATGGGGCCAATCTAGGTTTTACTTTACGATATTAGACAATATATGGGGCTAAAGTCCGACTCCGGCAAAAAAACATTTTTTTTAAGATAGTGGGGTATGGCCATTGCTAGGCTACTGAAAGGCCTGGAGAGCCTTAGGCACCTATATTGAAATACTGGGGGGCTTGTGACATAATTAGATAGGAAATTAAAGCACAAAAGGGACACAGCCAAAGAAAAAAAAGCTGATGGGTTTCCAGGCATGCCCTACTCTACAAAAAAAAGATTTTTTAAAATTATTATTATTAGCATTATTGCTGCCTTAGTCTCTTTTCCTCACTTCCTGTTACATTCAGAGAGAATCAGTGCTGTATATCCAACTATGATAGTTAGATAGGATAGCCCTCCCTAATATCTTGTCTTGAATTGTATTGTGATTGTAATGTCTTCCTTACATTGTAAAGCGCTGCGCAAACTGTTGGCGCTATATAAATACTATGTGATAATAATAATAATGATAGATTCCAGGCAGGACAAAAGAGCAGAGGAATCACCTCATCCATGTGCTGCTGCTCCTTGATTGCCAAGGCACAGGCTGGGGCAGGTCTTAGACCAGTCACACTGATCAACTGCAGTTTAATTTGCAGAAAGGTCCAGGACCTGGCTGTGCTATCTGGAAGGGATTCCAGGATAACAAGGCTTCCTGAACGGAACTACAAATTATTTGACAGGCAAAGCATGAGAATAGTTCAACTGTGTGCCCTGAGTTCAGCTTGAACCCCCATTCATACCTGAACAACTTGGTGTGTTTCTAGAGGAGGTTCCACGCTCGATACTCATATTTCCATGTTATTCTATAGTACCCCTCACATCTGAGCGATGTGCTGTCACTCAACGTTCACAAGTTGAGTGACACAGACTTGTATTGCAGAGAAGGACAGTGGTGTGTCAGACCAGTTCTGTTACTGGATGCTGATTACTGAGTGCACTGGGTCTAACTTTGCTACCTATTGGACTGACCAGTGATATTTAGACATCCCTACAACTGCTGTAACAGGAACGTGGAGGTAAGACTATGGAAATTGGGTTGTTAGTACAATGTCTACCTGACTACATGTAAAGTTCTATGAATTATATTGGATTTTAGGCCTTGTTCACAGCATGTGCGTTCCAGATCGGTAGCTGCTGGAAAGCACCGCGATCGCTGAGAAACTTCCCCCCGCGTTTTGGGGTGGGAGGGGGCGTGGCAGTGCATTGTATTCAATGGCACCGCTTCCACGCCCCCCGCCCGCAGTGTGATCGAACGCGTGGCAAATCTTTGCCAGCGTTCCGTTCCACTGCAAACTTCAATGCTCAGCAATCGCGGTGCGTTCCAGCAGCTACCGCTCTGGAACGCACATGCTTTCGGTGTGAACAAGCCATTAACATTGTTGTTTATTGATTCATTGTTGAAAGACTTCCATCGCTAAATTGTTACATACAGACGCTCAGGGTCCTCTGTACCTGTGACATTTCCAAAGCATTCATTATAGCTGCAAAGCTGTACATATTTCCCAGAGTGCCTTTCAGTTCAGCGGCCAGTTGTATGGTCTTGTGCAGCAGAGCGGCTCTTTCCTCCGTACTGCCCGTGCAGCCCAGGATGTCCACAGCTATCATGATGGACATGGTGTGAAATCTGTGGAGCAATGAAGAGAGGTCACAGCGATCAGTCATACAGATGAGCTGCCTGGGGCCGTTGGGTGGAATCAAGGCTTTCCATAATAGAAGCTACAATAAAGCTGCCCATACACCTTATATATACAGTATGGGCCGCTTTTCGTAGGCGATCGCGTTTTCCTCCGATATTTGTAAGGCTGATGGGCAGTGTACAACCGCAAATACCGTACAATCGATCGACTTTTGACTAACCAGCAGGTTAGAAAACTTCGGTCGATGGTACGATTTTCACAAGGTTTTTGGGGATTTCCGTGCGTCCAAATTCGTACGATCTGCACATGCGCAGATGAAAATACGTGTGGTCGATTACCGCAATTCGTCCAGGTGCTTTCTTCTAATTACCGCTGATCCAACCTTGCGATAATCGGGGCAGGATGGGGCCGCCGTCCGACAATCGGACGACGATTCGATCATCGGACGAAAAGTGTCACCCGATGATCGCAAAGTGTATGGGCAGCTTTACCATTCACCTGACAATGAGTACATCTAATGGCTGCACAGGATTGCGGTATGAATATGGACAATTTCCTATAGGTTTATACCCTGTGCAGATACCCACAGCATTATGTTTATCTCAAGGGAACCATAGTGGCTGGCCAGGAAAATTCCTTCCTATGTTATCAGTTCTTCCACTGACATTAGTCACATATTCCGTGTGACATCGGACACTTAGGTACCCAACGTTGCATCATAAGAAAAAGGGGGGGAGAGTCGAATGCTCCTTGATACCCCTATGTGCCAGGTATTTCTGGTTGCTCTAAAGCAGCCTTACTCAACCACGGTGCCCCCTGGCTTCATCAGGGGTGTTGTCAAATTTATGCACAGCGTAATGCATTTCCATGGGATTCTAATGTGAAAGGAGGACTCTGATATGATGGGAAGGGACGGATTCTGATGGGAAGGGACGGACTCTGACAGGGGAGACTCTTGATGTAAGGGGAGACCCTAATGTAAAAGGGGAGGACTCTGATGTGAAATAGAGGTGCTCTTATTTGAAGAGGGGAACTTCTGATGTGAAGGGGCTCCTATTGAGAAAGGGGGACTCTAATGTAAAAGGAGGGGACTCTGATGTGAAGGGGAGACTCTGATTTGAAGGGGGTGGGGCTCTGATGTGAAGGGGGGTGGCTCTGATGGGAAGGGGAGACTCTAATGTATAAGGAGGGGACTTCTGATGTGAGGGAGGTTCTTAATGTAAGGGGGACCCTAATCGGGGTCTCTGATGTGGAGGATACTTTGATGGGAAGAGGGGGACCCTCGATGTGAAGGGGAGGACTCTGATGTGAAATAGAGGTACTCTTATTTGAAGGGGGGCTCTGATGGGAAGGGGGGGGCTGTGATTTGAAGGGGGCTTCTGGTGTGAAGAAGGGGCTCTGATTTTAAGGAAGCACATGATATGAAGGGGGACTTCTGATGTGAAAGAGGGGACCCCAACTTTTTTTGTTTTTCTTTTATTACCACACTTTGTTTTTTTTTTACATAGACCTTTTTACATTTTAGACTGGGGTGCTTCAAGTTTTTGCCCACTTTGCCCACTTTTAAAGGGTGTCGTGACTGTAGCAAGGTTGAGAAAAGCTGGTCTAAAGACTGAAGGGAGTGGTGAGGGAGCAAAGACTAGGTGGGTATTTGCAGGGGGGAACCTGTTGCTTTCCCTCACATGGCCATAGACCACTTTAAGGCCTCATTCACACACGAATCGGCCTGCACGTACAGCTCCGTGCTGCGTGCGGGGCCGTGTCAAGCAGCTTCCGGGAAGGACAGGTGCTGCGTGTGATTAGAACGCAGCCCCCGTCCTTCTCTATGGGGCTACGCGGCCGTACGCCCCCCTACGCTCACCTCATTTGCAGGTCCGTAGGGGTGCGGGTGATCGTATTCATACGCCGCCGGAATGGAACATGTATGCGTCCCGGCTGGAAAACCCGCACCCCTACGGACCTGCAAATGAGGTGAGCGTAGGGGGGCGTACGGCCGCGTAGCCCCATAGAGAAGGACGGGGGCTGCGTTCTAATCACACGCAGCACCTGTCCTTCCCGGCAGCTACTTGGTACGGCCCCGCACGCAGCACAGAGCTGTACGGGCAGGCCGATTCGTGTGTGAATGGGGCCTTCTAGTCATGTTCTGGTCTTGCTGAGGCCTATTCTGTATAGTGGAGGTTGACATTTTGTTCCGGCATTTACATCCAGCACGTCGCGGCACTCTACGTCCGCACTCTACGCACCTTTCCAGAAGGTCAAGTCGCAGCTGGCGGCCATGCGGTAGCGTTAGAAGCTCCATGCCTGAGCTGACTCCCATGATCCTCTGCATCTCCTTGGTAACACCGAGTATCCTGGCAACCTGGAAGCAACGTGAAGACGAGGATTAATTTCTCCTAATTGGAAATAGATTGTCGCCTCATCTTGGAGGAAGCCTCCCCGGAGGGCACAGCAATAAACACATTAATGGCAGGCATTATAAGCCGGCCCCACCAGCAAGGGAATAGGGTGACGTCATGGTGACATCATTGCAGCTACTAAAAATATCGCAGCCCTTTGGAACTTTGTTAGCGTTAACCTTTATTTCGGATTGGAACAAATATCCGTAATCCCAAAGCCATGATTCCACTTTGAGTGATAATTTATATATGGTAGGAAGAGCTCCGCTCTAATTTAAAGGTCCCCTAACTATATATCACAAGCTGGCTTATATTAAAAATGTATATAATTGTAAATGTAGGATATTATTAGAATCGAAGATGTTTAAGGGGAGATTATTGTGCTTCTTCATTGAGCACATACTTTGATGTTTAGCCTCTGTATTAATCTCAGTACAGGGGCACCTTTCAGTGTATGTTCAATGGAACCTTCACATTTGTGGTACCATATTCCCCTTATTGCATAACACAGATTAGTAGGTTCACCCTGAATTACATTGCAGTCACTCAGCCTCCCTGCTAATCAACAGCGGGCATAAAATCTCATCTATACCGAGTGTGCATTGTTGTCAGCCAGTCAGACATGACCAATAGATACGACCTGAGATAGTGGAACAGCAAGACACAATCATTATAGGCAAGAAGCAAGCCTCCGTTTTTTTAGTTCTCAAGCAATATAAACTAAGGCCACAACTGCAAGTAGGATTCCTTCGTAAATTGGCAGGCACATATTCTGGCGTTCTTGCTTCCAATTTAAACATTATGGGGGCAATTTATTAAAACTGGAGCAGTTGCCCGTGGCAACCAATCAGCATCTCTCTTCAGTTTGCTCAAGTAAGATTTCATAATGAGACAGAGTAGCTGATTGGTTGCAGCGCAAACCTGCTCCATATTTTAATAAATTCCCCCCTATATCTTTTATTCTGCTGGTTATATTTAAAGACTCAGGTGGATTTTATACGACTGATAGAATGGGAGATTACACAAATTAAGAAATTGGGCCGGGCCAATTACTTTCTCTCTTTTACTGGGTAATTCCTGGCAGGGTCGGCACCATGCAGACGGACTATGTGTGAATGTGATCACTCCACTGACAGCAGATATTAGAGGGGGCACAGTTATAGAAACCACTATGGTCTCCAGGGTCCAAGTTTGAAAGGAATGCCATGATTGGATGTTGTTTCTGTCTGAACACAAGGAGATCACTATGGTCCCCATGGGCTATTTTGGAAAGGGGTGCCATGATTGGATGCTGTTACTATCTGAACACATGGAGACTAATATTCTCTCCAGGGACTGTGTTGGAAAGTCGTGTCATGACTGAATGCTGTTTCTATCTGAACACATGGAGACTACTATCGTCTCCAGGGACCGTGTTGGGAAGTCGTGTCATGATTGGATGCTGTTTCTGTCTGAATGCCTCTATGGTCCCCAGGGGCCGTGTTGGAAAGGGGTGTCATGATTGGATGCTGTTTCTATCTGAACACATGGAGACCACTATCGTCTCCAGGGACCGTGTTGGAAAAGGGTGTGATGATTGGATGCTGTTTCTATCTGAATGCCTCTATGGTCCCCAGGGGCCGTGTTGGAAAGGGGTGTCATGATTGGATGCTGTTTCTGTCTGAATGCTACAATGGTCTCCAGGGACCGTGTTGGGAAGTCGTGTCATGTTTGGATGCTGTTTCTGTCTGAATGCCACTATGGTCCCCAGGGGCCGTGTTGGAAAGGGGTGTCATGATTGAATGCAGTTTCTTTCTTAAAGGAGAACTATGGGGTAAGTGCTTTTCCCCATAGTTCTCCGAAGGGTAACGGGAGGACACAAACTAGCGTCCTCCCGTCACCCAAAGCTCAGTATACCGCGAGCTGCTGCTCGCGGTATACTGAGACGCCGCAGCTGAAACGGATCCCAACAATTATGTCTGAATCCGCCCAGCTGCGTGATTTACAGCGGGCTTTGCCTATCTAGAGGCAGAGCAAGCTGTACCCGCCTCCTCCCCCGTCCGTTCCGCCAGTCAGCACTGGAGGTTCGGAGGGGGGGAATCCAGTCACTCCCCTGCCATGGCTCACCTGTGGGGATAGATCGAGAAGTGAGCAAGAGCCGGTATGTGTTCGCTCACCTCCCAATCTACTAAGCCGACTTGTGACAAGCACTCACCTCATAATTCTCCTTTAACACTATGGTCCCCGGGGGCCGTGTTGGAAAGGGGTGTCATGATTGAATGCTGTTTCTTTCTTAACACCACTATGGTCTCCAGGTGCCATGTTGGAAAGTGGTGTCATGATTGAATGCTGTTTCTTTCTTAACACCACTATGGTCTTCAGGGGCCATGTTGGAAAGGGGTGTCATGATTGGATGCAGTTTCTGTCTGAACATTGATGTGGATGGACAAAACACAAGTTTACTTTAAAGGTTTTCCTCTTTAGTTAGGATTCTGGGGGGATAGTGGTGAAGGGTTAGAACCTTTTATTGTTTTGTTTTTTTTGCTGTCTGTTAAGAGTTCCCTTGACTTTTTGTCCTAGTGATAGCTCTGTCACTGTGACAGGACTTTCACACTTTCACACTTACTGCATTCTATAGTTCGTTGACGTTTATCTAAACATTCAATATATTGCAGCTTACCAGTTCTTTTTTTGTTGTGGCTGCCCTAGTTATTTTTCCCTTCATTTTCACCCGGTGATCCTGCCAGTAACACACTTCATGTTCTACGGTGACAACACTCACTCGCTGTACTGTAACTGTGGAGGAGTAGCATTGGCACTCGAGGCTTCTTGCTCCTCATTTTGACTGAAGAACACCTCCCCATCTCTTTAACATAGTGATGAGGTATTCTGTAGTCCACAGAGAAGCAGGGCAGGATTTCTGGACGGATCATCAATTATTTTTTGTTGCATTTATCAAACAGGTGCAACAAAATGCTTTTAATAGTATGTTTAATAGACCAAAAGACAGCAAAAAAGGTTTTTGTTGTTTCATTGTTAGGTTTTACATATTCACTATCACAGTTCCTGGAATCTCTCTTACCTCGCAGTCTGCTTTGGTGATATGTTTGGCAATAGTTTTGGCATCAACTTCAGAGAAGAGCTCCTTGACCTTTTTAAGTATACACATCTCCAGGGGCTTGTTGTCTGGGGGGATCAGTGTAGACTTAAAGCTTGCTGGGTTGAAAGAAGATTTGGCTTCCACAGTAGGGATAGTAAAGCACAGTTTGTCCTTATCGGAGTCCTCCCCCACGCGTTTAGCCCCTGCCCGGGCACCCTCGTCCACTTTTAATCTCTCTACATAGCTCTTGGGTGGAAGGGGTTTGCTGGGAGTGTCGTGTGTTGGGGAAGCTGGACGAAGCTGGCAGTAATGTGCATTGTCCGGGTCACTATAACTGTTTATGGAGGGGGAAGGAGAGATTTGTGAATACCCGTGACTTGGTGAGGAATGGGTGTTTTCAGCCATGTTTAAAGCGGCCTTGTTGCTTGCTGAGCAGACGTAGGGCTCGCTGGACCGTCTCAGCACAGGTGAGCCGGGGTTCACGCTGTTTGCCATTGGAACTCCCTGGGGCTTCACCCGGATAACTGCATACATTAAAAAGAAAATTAATACGAACTGTACAGTATAGGAATAAAATGTATATACAAAGGTCTAGTCTAGCTAAAGTGATATTTCAGTTCTAGGTTGAGTCTGAAAATTTGGGGCATCTGCTGACTGCTTGCATCTTCTGGAGAGAAGCAAAACCTCCCTGCCGTAGATCCTGGCTCTATTCTTATCCACCTGGAAATTCTTGGTATTCCCGCCAGGCCATTTGGATATTTGCCAAGTGGATGAGCTATGTTGATGGCTGCAGACTCTTGACTTACACATATTTAAAGCATATTGGATATTTTTACTATTGCAGTAGAATGATGTCTATAGGAAATTATTGTTTTTTTCGCGTTTTACCCCATGAAATCTAAAGGACATTTTGCCTGGGCTTTATGCTGGACCGCCATCATCCCTTACCAGTCATTTTACTTACCTGTACTGTAGGCCGGGGAACCCGGGCTTTCAGAAATAGGGGACATTGGGGCGTGCAAATCCTGAATTTGGTCCACACTGACTGCACAGCTCCTGATGATATCTCTGTGATGTGGGGAAGAGGTGCTAGGAGGAGAAATAGAACAAATGTTATTATGAATCAAATAATCAATCCCTTACTAACAACGCTATAGCTATGACTGAATGACTATCGCCTGAGCAGTGTGGTATCCTTGGCAGCAAGAGGCAGCCCAAGGTTCTGGGGATTTGGCCCTGGACATTTTGTTTCTGGATCAGTATCTATTTCTGATCATTGATCGATTTCGGTTCTTGCTGTCTCTGTTCCCATCTGGCTGGATCCTCCCTCTCTCTATATGTTCTGGGGAGTACTGTCACTGGGACAGAAAGTAATAAGAAATCCAAAATGCTACAGTTGTCATAGTAAAGGGACTAGATGGGACATCTTGCAAAGGGAACACCTGTGCCGGTGACAACTATCACATTGCAGAGATATTCTTCTCACTTCCTGTTGTGTGTTTGAACCAGGAAGTGAAAGGAGATTTCCCCAATGGGACAAACACAGCAATACAGGCTGACCGTTCAGCCCCAGTAAGCAGTACTCACTAACATATCTAAAGCAGTACAACAAAATGGGACTAATCAAGTTTAAGGCTAAACCAACTACAACCACCAACTCAACAAGCCACCTGTCCGGGATTCACCTGGACAGTCCAGGTTTTGAATGCTGTGTCCGGGTTTCATGGCAGCTGAAACCCGGACACATTATGTCAGGCAGACAGGGACAACCAAAATTAAGATAGGGGCTACTAGCTTCCCCATTGAAAATAGTCTTGACTGTAATATTTACATATGAATGGGTGGTGCTATTTACATATGAATAAGCCTTAACTCATTTCCCCCCAAAATTTCTGTGCATCGCTAGAGTGTTCGGGTTTTGCTGAAAGAAAAGGTGGCAGCCCTAACAACCACAACAAGGAAAAGTAAAGGCACCCAGGACTCAAACTTCCCTACTTTAAAAATCAGAAAAAAAGCACTTAACAGGCACCTTTCAAGAGGAATGTTTAATAACAAACTATGATTGAGCATGTTTTCCCAATACACATTTGTCGCCATGTTCCTTTAGTAGTTTTTGTTTTAGAAAGCGTTGGAAAGAATTAACACCTTTGCTGTCTTTGTCATCGTTGAGGAGGATTCCCATATTTTTGATCCCAGTGATGGTGGCCACCAAGACAGGAAGGGCGATCCTCTCCAACACACATACTGCTAGCTATAAAAAAACTATTTTATTCCATAGCGGCTGATAGAACCTATGTGAGGTCTTTAGTGTTGCCTGTGTCTCCACTGGGGCAACACTAGTCATAGTGAAACGGAAAGTGAGAGAAAATAATGCTAGTGGGGACTGAGACATCAATAAAAACCTGACAGTAAAACACTTTAATCAAGATCAGATACATCTGGAGCTTTGAATACAACATGGAGAATTGTGTCCTGTGGGCAGGGCCGGATTTACTCTCTCTGCTGCCCCAAGGCCAGGCTTCTCAATGCGCCCCCCACCCCCACCCATGGAGAATGGCAGACATGCAGGCTGCATACAAGTGATCTCGGCGACATCACCAAGATCACTTGTACAACACAATTGGTGGCTTCCCCGCTGTACATTTAGCTCTGCTTGCCCAAAGCAGGGCTAAATGTAGAAAAGAACTACCCGCTCGGCACCCGAAACTACATGTCCTGGGCATCCGGAGATAGGAATTCCACACCCCTGCTGCCCTGAGGCTGGGCTTTGGTTGGCCTTGTGGGAGTTTGTGGGAGTTTACTGCATTTACTAAAACAATGGAAACATTTGTGACTACTAAACATTTTTGTACCGAACTTCTGCTTGTACCTGTTTGGGCACCCATTGGCCTTAATAATCTTGTCTGCAGTGAGCCCATCGGTCATAGTAATGCTTCTTCTCTTCATATGTCCTTTCTGTGGGCTCTGTGAACCCTGCCTGCTGGGTGACAGCCCATAACTGGCCTCCAGGTATCGCAGTGGGAATGTGCGGTTGATCGGGCAGTAGATGAGTGCCCCGCTCTGATCCGACACAGTCTTTCGGCTGCCCACATAGGAGTGCACCAGTGCAGGTATATTGTCAAAGCTTTCCTGTTCAAACAAGTATTGTATCCGCGTGTAGCTGTCGCTGGTCTTCACCATCACTTTGTTGATCTTGAAATGTAGAGGATCGTTCTTCCAGTGGCAGGTCAGGACGTAGTCACCCAGGCTGGTGAGTGAGTCTCTGATGAGGAAGTCCCCATTTCTCTGGACCAAACTTTCTGACACCTGTGGCAACAGAGAAGTGTGCAGTCATTAACTTTCTATACTGCTCCGTATGGACACCTGAATTAGATGCATATGGAACAGCATGGATTGAAAGTAGTAAGTATTTAAAAATGAGGGTATCTAATGCTCATAAACCTAAGCCTTCCAATCACTGTTGATATTGGCTTCAGAGGACTCTGCACCAAGAAACGCTTTGGCCTGTTTCTGATATTTATAACTGTGTCTCCTTATATGTGTAGGCCTCTATTACCTATAAGCACCTGTAACATATTGTGCAAGTGTAGCTGCCCTTTTAGCCTAGGTATGAATTTACTGGGCCTTCAATGGCATTAAAAGCACCACTGGCATCACTTCTTATGACATTGCCAGTGGCAGAGGACCTGAGTCCATTTCAGAGTGCTTAACCATCCTAACTGGCGTCTAGTCACTCTACAGGGGATACATAATGATCAGAAGTAGGGTCTTTCTCCATCCTGAGTCCCTGAACTCCTATATGGCTCTCCTAATGGGCCCCTATAGAGCAGTCTAAACAGGATATATATTTGTTTTTGCTCTCCACAATATCTTCCTACCATTACTCCTGGTATAGTTACCAACTTGGCATTAAATCTCCAACTTTTTCTCTTCAGTGATAGTCATTAACCATGGAGGTGCCAAAGATAGAGAGAATTCTATAGGAAAAGGAAATGTAGTGGAAGACTGGCATCCAACTGCAGGAACAGTAGGGGTCCATCCACACTGCAACAGTCATTGCCATTTTTTTGGGTACACCACTTACCTCTCGAGGTATGCGTCCATGATACCAGGCATGGCTGCGCAGGTCCGAGCTGTTAAGTTTTAATTCCTCTTCCAACTCCTTGTGCAGCTTCTCAGGTGGGGTATCCAAGATGTACTTTTCCTTGGAGAACTGTTGGTTAAGAAAAAAATATATTGTATGTAAATCACAATTCTTGCTTGATGTGAATATGTATTGCTTTGAGGTACTATAAACTTAACAGGCATGGCCTTCCCCACATTGGTTGTTAGCAAGGGCAGCTGGGAAACTATAAACCTTACCATCAGAGATATCAAGCAATTTACAAACCCAGTGACTAAATCAATACTCTGACATGTCTCCAAAACTGAAAATCATTTAAGGGTGGACTGACCAGTTTACATGTTCTGGAAGATCACAAAAGGCCATTTTCCACCTCTCTTTCCCATTTGCTATATATGTTCTAAACTCTAGAGTGATCATTCCACCCTCTATAGGACTATATATTTAACTATTGCTCTGTAGAATCAAATTCTATATAAATATCCCAGGTTGTTTCCATATTCATAGGAACATGTATTGTCAGACAGATGGAAATGTGCACATTGGGCCTTGGCACCAACATATTGACATACAGTATATTCCTCTGGAAATGTTACATACACTCTGTCCAATGTCTAATAACTGGAAAAGCTGCCTTGTGATACATACGGCTGGAATATCTATCACTGCATATCTATATATTTGTCATGCCATTCACCCCCTTTTCTGCCTTAAAAACCACCAAGAACGTGACTTTTAACCCCATATTTACAGAAGACCAGCACCTAAATCCGAGCGAGGAGAAATTGTAAAAGTCTGTTAACTGAGGTTCCTCCATCAATTTCACCTCCATCTTTGCTCTTTTACTACTCCATGTGGAACCCAGGATTTCCATGTGGAGTGTGACCAGCAACCAATATTGACAACAAAAGCACAGGGCTAGGGTAGCCCCAGGCATTTGTGAACCATGACATCACTGAAAGATTCCACCTCTTTTTTCATGTGATTTATTATTGCTAAAATTAATACTATAAGTGGTACTAATCTTTATGCGTTTTGGTACATTTGGACAGTACAGACCACCAATCAAAAGCCTAAGGAGGCTATAGGTTACCTGTTCTGCCCAGCAGGCCTGTATTTAGACATCATACTGCCCTAGGTACTCCTCGATGATGAAGAAAACACCTCGGAAACAGCTGCTAGAATGCAATTCTAGAGGCAGCATCGAGCCTGCTTTATATGTAGAGCTACATTTGTTTTTACTGTAGATAACACCTGAAGTAGAACTGAGGTGAGTGCTTTTCACTTACCTCATAGTTCTAGCCGACCTGTCACAATGAGACTGTCACAGGTCGGCTCAGTAGATCGGGAGGTGAGCGAACACATACCGGCGTTCGCTCACCTCTCGATCCTGTCACGGCTCTCTGCCGTGACAGGGTAGGGGCTGGATTCCCCCCTCCCCGCTCCGATCCGCCAGCACTGACTGGCGGAACGGACGGGGGAGGGGGCGGGTACAGTTGGCTCTGCCTCTAGATAGGCAGAGCCAGCTGTCAGTCATGCAGCTGGGCGGATCCCGGCATAATTGTCGGGATCTGTTTCAGCTGCGACGTCTCAGTATACCGCGAGCTACAGCTCACGGTATACTGAGCCTAGGGTGACTGGAGCTGGAGGACACTAGTTTGTGTCCTCCTGTTACCCTAAGGAGAACTATGGGGAAAAGCCCTGACCCCATAGTTCTCCTTAACTAGAGAAAGGATAGATGATTTCAAGTTTCCTGAACTGTAAAGAACCTGCTGGCTACGCTAAAAAAACAAAACAAAAAACCTACACTCTTCTTCCTGCTACAGTTTTAATGAATTTAGCTACAAATGTCTGGGTGTCAACAGAAGAGAAAAAAATGTGGGCTTGTTCACACCAAGCGCGTTCCAGGAGCAGAGCAGTTACAGACCGGATCAAAACTGCGTCCAATGTATTCCAATGGTATTTTGGGCTCTTGTTCACACCGCAGCATTCAGTTCCAGAGCAAGTAAGAAAACTGCAGCAAGCCCTATTTTACCTGCTCTGGAACGCATGCAAACGCCCTGGAACGCACTGAAAGCCCATTTTAAACAAAACCAAAAAATTTATATATTTTTTTTTAAACCAAAAACAGCCCTGAACGCGGCAAAAAACACGGTATAACACACTGCACTGCGTGTGCAGAAACTCATGCAGACCTGGTCTGCATTTGGTGTGAACAAGCCTTGTAAGAAAGAAGTTATCACAACAAGTTTTTAAGCTTGCTGCTGCTGCCTCTTAAATTTACTCCTCTAGGCACCGGCCTTAGGATAAATATGGCTCTGTTGCAGAGGCTCTTGTGACTCCTCATCAGCCACTGCCTATGTTTAATTCTTAATCCCACGGTGTACAATGGTGGTCACATGCAGCAAAAAAAGACTGCCCTTGGTGGTTATAGTCATTCATTCTTATAGGTGTCCATTACTGTCAATCACAAGCTTAGATACATTGGCTCATGGGCAATAAAGTATCCTTTGAAAATATTTTATGGTCCTGGAAGCTATGCCATGCTCCTGTAGAAATGTGCCATGCTTTACGTCCACAGAGCTGACAGTTTAACAGGATCAGTGTTAGCCAGTTAAGTCTGGCTGGTAATGCTCTTTCACATATGGAGGATTCAGATCAGAAGCTTCACACTAATAGAAGGAATTGCAGGGAAAGGGAATTAATGCACTTATTCTTTATCGGTCCAGGTGGCAGCTCTTAGCTTGTGTGACAGTGCCCACGCCAGAATGAGATAATCTCCTCTACGCACAAATCGTATCAAAGCTGGCCTGGCCTGTTTGAATAATACAGACGGTTTAGAGGCGTCATCTGCATTGTAATGAGGTTTAGCGGCCAGGGGAACACCTGAGCCGATGAGCCCCGCAAGGCCCCCTCTTTCCATGCCTGCTGCTCTGCTGAAGCTCTAATGTGTAATAGTCTGAGTCAGCTAGATGGCTACACTACAGTCTGATGTTCTTTACAGAGGAATCATTAGTTGGAAGCTCTCAGAGACGAGCCTTCCCCTTTCAAAGCTATACTAATTCTATGTATGCAATGCCTGCATTCAAGGTTACTTCTGAGAGGCTGAGATGATAGAAGAAAAGATGGACGGATGGAAGTAAAGATGGACGGATTGATAGTTGGGAGGATAGATGGATGGATGTATGGATAGATGGATTGATTAATAGTTGGATGGAAAGATTGATGGATGGATGGATCGAAAAGCTAGATGAATGGATGGATAGATGGATGGATAAAGAACCAGCACATGTAAAAACCGGGCTGCCAAACCCAACTTCGCATTAAGGAACTGGGCTACCAAACCCAACTTCGCATAAAGGTGGCTTGATGGTTAGCAAATGTAATGCTGCAAACCTGGCTTTTACGGGATCCTATACTTTATCCATAACAGTGTTGCTTTAGAGCAGCGAGAGCCAAGACACCTATACTTACCTTAGCTTCCCTGTTGCCCTGTTATCCTGCCACGGTTGGACAAAAAACTTCTACGTAGAGGCGCACATGGTTTTTATCCCCTGTATTTCCACAGTACAATGCCCAGTGCCTTAGCTGCCAATCCCAGGCCTGTGTGCTGTTATGTGAGAGTAGAGAGAGGCTCTTTAGCTCAATGTTGGCACCAGCGGACAGCGGGCAATTGCATTGAATGTAAGTTCTCCCTACCCTCCCTGATCTAAAGCAACACTGTTAATGAATGGAACCTGAATGGACACATTCCATTCTATTTTAAAGAATAAAGGCACTTTTGTGGTACAAATACAAATGCGCTTTTATGATGCTACTGGATAATTCAACGTCAAAGCTCTAAAATCATTTCTGTTCTACAGCACATGTCTATAGTCCAGTGTCGATGAATGTGCTGAGTGTTATATGAAATAAAGCATTGCTAACCTTGCTTTAGATATGCAATTTCCCATGGTTGATCATTGACAGTAAATTGTGAGTTAGCTCAGGAAGTATGAACACCCCAATGATGTCTTGTCTGCTGAGGATTGTTTTTTTTTTAGAAAATAGGTGGCCATTCAAAGTGGAAGGACCTTTGATGATCCCAGCACAGATGTCAAGATACTGTATTTCAGATTCTATGATATTTGACAAGCATGCATGACTTCTCTGGATACATAAAAGGGTTTTGTTTTTTTTTAAACGCACTTATTTTTCCTTTCTATAATGCCTTGTTCACATGAGCTCAAGTGTGTATAAATATGTCCAGTATGTCCAAGAAGCCATTGGAAAGCTTTGTCAGGTTTCAGACAGCTTTTATGAAGCTTCTATAGCACCATTGAGGTCTAGAATGGCAATGTTATACACAGATCTCAGACAGACAGACAGACAAACAGATTGAGAGAGAGAGAGAGAGAGAGAGAGAGAGAGAGAGAGAGAGTTCACTCACTTATTCTTGAGTGTATTAGTTGTGCTATAAAGTGACCGGTCCTCTTGCCAATGCAGCATAACTGGAAAATGAAAGGTTTACAGCCAGCTAATGACAGACACATCTGCAGCTCTCCTTCTGATCAGAGTAGGATAGTATAGATTAGGAGGATGAGATCCGTCCCATTCCCATAGAGAGAGAGCACTGAAAAAGCATATCTCATGTTCACTACCGTTTAACCCTGAAGATCTCAGAGGAAGAGGACTCATCAGCACATTTCATCTAATTTATTACCCTTAATACACATCTGCAGTTCTATGCCATGGGAGGCAGCACAAACCAAGCAATTTTAAGACAAGCTGGAGATCACTTAAATGTAACCTATTTGTTGCTGCTGGGTCCACTGGGAAATTAAAGGTAACAGTAATGACTTAGCACCTCCCTTCTTCATATTAATTACAGTAAATTAGTGGGTCTCTGCTGCACAGCTGCTCACATCTTCAGATTTATACCCGCATAGGCCCCCATAAATCCTCTACTGTCATGACGTACCTCACCTTGTCACCCATTTTCCTGAGGTTACATAGTTACATAGTATTTGAGGTTGAATAAAGACATTAGTCCATCAAGTCCAACCTATAGGTTGAGTTTAAAGATCAGAGACAGGTTGAAAAGAAAGAAT